TGTTGCTGATGCTGTTTTAACCTGTTCTTGTAATTCAAGATGTAATTTCTATCTAAGCAAATATAATTATTTCTATCAATTTAAAAACAATTTATTCTTACTTTAAATGCTCGATAACATTGATCAATTTTACGCATATCAGCACCAACATTTAATGTTGCTTCATTATCTGTATCAGCTAAATAATTTTTAACTTGTTCTGTTAATCTAAAAATAAACTCATCTGTATATATATGTTTTTTTGTTTCTATAAAATTTACTTTGCTATAAGTTCAGCTGTTAACAATTCAGTAAATTGTTCACTACCACTTTGTATTGTGATTTGATTACGTAATTGTAAATTTTCAGCTCGTAATTGATTAATTAATAAGCGTGGATCAAGTTCTTCATTGAGTCTAGCATCATTTTTAATTAATGCTACACGTTGTGAAAAACGACAAGTTGATATTGTTTCCTATTAAAAAAGATATTTAAAATAAATTAGAAAAAAAGAATTTTTTCGTACTTCAATATTTCGTTTATCAACTGAACATGTTGCAATCATTGTTGTCATGCAATTTCCACCAAGACTATCACGTAATACTGATGTCATCATAGAATTTCGATATGGTATATGTGAACGATGTTTTTCCGATAGAGCAACAATAACTTGTTCAAGATAATGAAGTGATAAATTAATATATTTCGCTTCTGTTAATAATAAACCATTGACATTTGTTTTTGCGACACGTTCAGAACTAAATTTAGAAAGAAAAAACAAAATTCGTTTATAATAAAATATAATTTCTACAAACCCAGCTAAATCAACAAGATGTAATTTGGCTTTACGTACAGTTGCTGAACCAATTTCTTTACTTGTAACATGAACTGTAAATATACAATGAGATCGTGTTGAAGCTTGATTCATTGGTGTCTAAAAAAACAATTAATATATATATATAATGTAAAAATATGAATTTAATTTTACTTCAGCAATCATTCGATTTGTATCACCAAGAAATAATAAATTAAGTGCTTCTTCTTCATTTTGTGCAGCATGAACTGATAAATTTTTTAAATGCATATTTTGATCTTCATCTTCCATTAAAAGTACTTTCCTATATATCAAATTATTTTAGTAAATTAAAAAAACAAAACTCGAATCAATATTTACGGTAAATCTTCTAACTTAGCTGCTTCATGTTTAGGATCTAGAAGATCATAACCATTTTCATTATAAATTTCTAAATAAGATACATGAACCGTATGACTTTGATCAGCATGCTAAAAGAATAAAAAGTATTATAATAATATTTTGACAATTCTTATTATATATTAACTTGTCCAAATTGTTGGAAAATATATGAAAGAGAACGTGGAATAATACCACGATCACTAAAACGTTCAGGTCCACCAGTTATTGTAAATGTTTTGCCTGAACCTGTCTAAAAATTTTATAATAAATTTTTATAAAATCGTATTTCTCTAATTGAAAAACTTTTTTTACCTGTCCATAAGCGAATATTGTTCCATTATATCCAGAAATAACGCTATATAGAAAAATTATAAGTTTTTATTCATTCTAAATTATCTAAAATCTCACTTATCAATAACTGGTCGAGCAACCAATGCAAAAACATCTTCTTGTTTAGCAGTTTGATCAAATATTTGACGAAAACTATGATATATAATTTATTTTCTATTTATTCTAGTTATACTTTTAGAACTAACCGAAAACGAAAATCTTCTTTTTTATTATTTATATAACCATCTGTAGCTTCTTTCGGAATCATAACTGATAAATGAGCTCCATCTTCAACAGGATTTATTTCATAAACCTAAAAGTAAAATGATTTTAATATTTCTAAACGAATTTTCCACTTTTATTTTAATTACGGATGTTTTTGATTTTGTTGGTTTAATTCGACAAAATATTTGAATTGTTTGTTTTACCATTTTTTTTACTCACTATAATTTAATAGATTTCAATTCTCAAAAAACTAAATGATTGATCAACATAATTTTTTTTTCTTTCTCTATAAGTTACTATGGTAAGTACCTCCTTGTCATTGATTCATGTGATGTCGCTGATAGATGAAGAATTTCATTTAATTTTTTTAAATCTCATTATTGTGTTGGTTTATGTTATTCGGATGAAACAACAAAACTACAAACATCATAACAAAACTCGATGATTGTAGAAAACAAAAACAACAAAAAAAAACACGAAAAAATTCTTTTTTTTAATTCAATTTGTTTAATCGTCATCGTCAAATTTGATCTTTTTATTAGATGCATCACCGCCAGCACTGAAACCATTGTCACCACCAAAACTGCGTTTAGGACCACCGCCAAAAGATCCACCACGACTTCCGCCACGACCTCCACCACGACCACCACCACCACCGCGGCCACCTCCACCAAATGATCGTTCTTTTTTTGGTTCTGGACAATCAAATGATTTATGGCCATCTTTACCACAATTGAAACATGCATCTAAAAATATTTCGTCATGTCTTTTATCTTGAAGTTAAAAATATTTTACTTGATCGTTCTCCACCACCGCCACCACCAGCTTTTTTGGGTTCGGTACATTCGAAAGATCTGTGACCTTCTTGGCCACAATTGAAACAAGCACCTAAATAAAAATCATTGTATGTCTCTTGATACTAGTAAATGAAAACGTACCTCCACCACCACCACCTGGACGTCCACCAGCTTTCTTTGGTTCTGAACATTCAAATGATTTATGACCATCTTTACCACAGTTAAAGCATGCATCTAAAAATATTTTGTTATGTCTTTTATCTTGAAGTTAAAAATATTTTACTTGATCGTTCTCCACCACCGCCACCACCTGAACGGCCGCCAAAAGCTTTTTTGGGTTCTGTACATTCAAATGATTTATGGCCATCTTTACCACAATTGAAACAGCCACCGCCACCACCACCACCGCCTCCTGAAAAAGAAGATTATCATTTATTTTTTTCGAAATAAAGAATTGAATAGAACCTACCAGATCTACCATTTTGTTGAGATCGTGAATTTCCTTGTGGACATTCCCAAGATTTATGACCTTCTTGTTGACCTAAAATTAGTCATAATCGTTATTCATATTATTTCATATTATTCTTAAGAATGCTTACAATTGAAACATGCATCTAAAGAATAGAAAATAAGATATTAAATAACAAGTCAAATAATTATTATATATTCTTACTTGATCTTGCACCACCAGCACCACCTCGACTGCCACCACTATTGCCACCACCAGGTGCAAATCTATTGTGATCATTCATAGATGCTTCATCAAGTGGTGGTAATTCTGTAATTGGTCCCATTTGAATTCTTGGACTATCTTTCCATGAACCTTGTAATTGTTCATCAAATTCGCTTGGTAAATCGAATATGGCACTCTAATTATGACGATTCACATTAAACATTTATATAGACATATATATTTATACATACTCTGAAATCTTTTGTAAATGCAATTTGTGGAACATTACCTTTAGCATCAAAATCATCACCAAAACTTTTACGTAACATTGTAAATACAAATCCAACGCTTTTTATTTCATCATTCGTTGATAATTTATATGTTGTATAACCCTAAATTTAAATAGATTAATCGAACTAATTCAAATAAAAAACTTTTTCTTTACTGCTTGTTTTGATAAAACTGATTTTGAACTGTCATCTGCTTCACCTGATGCTTTATCTGTTTGCATATCAGCACTCTATTAGAAAAGAAAAAGAATTAATTTTATTAGAAAAAAGTATTTTCTTAAATTTTACTTCATCTTCATCTTCATCTTCATCATCATTAGCTGATCCTTTTGTACTTGTTTTAGTCAAATTTAAAGTGGCAGCATCAGCTGACAAATTTTTTTTAACTGCTTTACGAAGAGAATCAGATGCTGTTTGTGAGAAGATAACCAATTGTGGTTTTGATTCTTGTTCTAGATGAAATATAAAATAGAAATTATATATATTAATATCATGGATATTTTCAATGCTTACCTGATGAAAAAACATTTTTAAGAACTTTTTTAATATCATCAACTACATCATCAACTTCATCGAGAACAACATGTTTAAGTTGAGATAAATCGACTTTTTCTTCATCGATAAATTCTTTTAATCGATCTGGTGTTGCAACAAGAATATCACAACCATTAGTAATAGCTGTTTCTTGATCATCTGATTTCTTTTTTGCTGGAAAAATTGTTGCAACTGATAGATCATTGACGATTGATTGAAAATCATCTGAGATTTGTTTAGCTATAAAAAAAGTTTTTACAATTTTAATTTCTTAGGATTCGTAATAATCTTTACCTGTATCTCGTGTTGCTGTTAAAACAAGAACACGTGGTGCTCGTCCTGATGTTAATTCAGCTGTTTTATCACTTTGAAGTAATTCAGCAAGAGGAATTGCAAAAGCTAATGTTTTTCCACTTCCATTTGCTGCTTGAATTAAACAATCATTTTGCTCATGAATAGTTGTAAAACTTCCTGCTTGAACTGGATAGAGATATTCAATATCACGAGCTAAAATAAAAGAATATTTTATGTTTTGTTTATTTCCTAAAATATTATTTTTTACCTTTGAGTTTTTTAACTATTTTTTTTGAAATAGTAAAATTTTTCAAATTTCCTTTTTGTTTATCTTGTTCAGTTAATTTAACTGTCCCGTTTGTTCCATTACCTTGTTCTGAACTTGTTTCATCTTCTGAATCTAATTAAATAGAATCTTTTTTATTAAAACTATTTTATAAAAGAAAAAATATTTACCTTCAACAGCAACTTTAGTTTGTTTTTTATCTTTCATTTTAAACGTAATTAATAACGATAATGGAAATTAACGAGATCTAAAATAATATAAATATATGTATATATTTGTCTATCTTTTTTTTCCTATGTTTTTGTAAATTCACTGTATTTTATTTTACTTTAAAAGTTAGTCACTAAAGAAATTCATGGTTAAAAATATTATGAGCAAATAAAAATGAATGTTTTAATTATAAATTTTTTCGAATAAATTCAAATATTCGATCTTCCATATAAATTCGATCATCAATTTTTCTTGGCATATGTCGTTCATCAGGAAAAAGTACAAGTTCAT